CCCCCCCCTCTTTTGTTTTAATATTTTCCCCCTTTGAAATCGACGGGTACTGATACAGCTGATTCGTCTCTGGGTTTGAAATTCTTTGGCGTTCTTGAGTTTTAGTGGTGAAAAAAATTGGAAGCTTCCGTGTAATGGAACTCGGAGACCTTATATTTTATGAATTTAATGGCGGTTCTTGACAAAGTCAGGGCTCAACCGTGTAGAAAAAGCATTAGAAAATAGAAAGAGAGAATGATGGATTTTATGCAAGAGGAGAATGTTTCATGGAAAATGTTTTGTGCAGCGTTGCTATCTATAATTTAGTTAAAAATTGTTTACGTGGGTTTGATGACATTAGTTTTTGATTATTTGCGCAATTAATTGTCGTAACTCGCGGATATGAGCTTTCCTATTTGTTGCAACTTTCTTTTTCAGAAACGAGGTTGAAGCTGAAATTATATTGCATGTACTAGACTAGGAATTATCTTGCAAAAATCTGTCTTGATACTAATCAGACTCAAGTCTTTGCTTAACATTCGAAGAAATGTTAAGCAATGTAAAGACCAAAGTAGCTCAGTTGTCCCTAAGTTGTGGTAAAATGCAAAGTCCAATGCGTAGGCCACCCTTTTTTTTTGTATACTTTAAACGTATATAAAAAGTTCTAGACTGGCATCTTGAAGGGTCCTTACGAGCATCATAGTATATCCTGTTGACCACCTTAGTCAGGAATTTTAGGACATGAATTTGTTCTTGTTATACGTGATTAGCAACCTGGGTTCAATCACAACTCAACCATTCTTTAAAATTTTGGTTTTCAAGATTTCAGTCTTCAACCTGATGGCTAAAAGTCATGAGCTGCATCTTTAATAATTCTGAACTATTGTTTAACATAATTGTCTGTGTGGGTTAAGATCAATGTCTCTTTTCGTTTTCTGTTTGTTGTTTGTATCTCAGGAATGGAAATAAGTGTTGTTATCAGCTTGCTTATACATCAGGTCTTTCTGTTTTCACTTAACTCATCCTATTATCCACCATGTTTTTGCTGTATATGTTAAGCTGAATGTAACTATAATTTGTATCCAGAGTTAATTGTACTCCTTCGTGTAAGATAGTTTGATTCTTTGGTTCCTACACTTGATGATTTGCAGGATTTGGATAATTTTTTCCTGGGCAGTTGTATTATTTCTTTTGCAAAGCGTTGCATGTCACAACATATACTATATAAATAAGGATGAGTTTCACACCTGAAGGCCTTGAGAATAACAAGATAAATGCGTCAAGCAAGGTTACAAAGTTAAATCCAAATGCCACAGAGTTTGTTCCATCTTCTCGACGAACCACATATGGGAACATCAAGGACACATATTCTAGTAGGGTGGACTCTATAGAAGCATCAAAGAATGCAGTTCTTGGTCGCGCTGAATCCTCTCTTTCAAACAATTCTCTTGATGATGATCACCAATATTGGCACCTTCAGCTTCCTAATGACATTACCCCTGACTTTAAGGCCATGGGAGAAGATAATGAATGTAGACTGCATCAGCTCTCACTTGTAGGATTATCAGTAAATGATGGTCTTGAACAGTCAAGATTTTCTGCACCGATAACCAGTGAGGCACTTGGTACACAAAATGTTAGAGCTCCTTTTGGTATGAACAATCTCATCTTGAGAGGGAGGAAGGGATATCATGGTTCTCCCTACAATGAAAACCAGTTATCAACTGCGCGTGTGTCTTCAGCCTCCAATTCATGGGACAGACAATTTTTAAATGGAGATAAACAACTTTCCAGGGTAATGGGAAGAACTGAAGGGCAAGACTTCATTGGAGATTCAGGCACAAGTTCTGTGAATAATATGTTAGGTGATCAACCTGTTATGAAGAGTGCTGAAATCAAAATGTTAGAGGCTTTGTCATTTCATTTTCCTGGTTTTTCTGCTGAAACCCTTGCAGATATATACTATGCAAATGGATATGATTTGGACTCTACAATTGAGATGCTTGGTCAGCTCAAGGTATGTCTCTCTCCTTAGGACCCTGAATATTTGCCATGGAAAGACCTGAGATAGTATTTCTGGAACCTTAAAGTTCTGCTGGGTTCTTGATATATTTAGTGAGTCCCAGTGTTATCCAACTTAACATATTTCTTGCCCGAGTTTTAGATGAATAGGACAAAAATTTCCCGATTCTCCTGCTCTAGAGATTTTTAGTTCATCCAGAGGAATGCGAACTTATGACAACTATTCAAAAACTGGTTGGCAGTTGCATCATATGTCAACTTATGCTATATTTTAATTTCATATGGGTCTTCTAGGTTGTAAAACTTACTGCATGGATTTTCAATTTTAGATAGATAGATAGAGGGAGGGAGGGAGGGAGGGAGAGGGAGAGAGGGAGAGAGAGAGGGAGAGAGAGAGAGAGGGAGGGGGGGGGAGAGAGCTAGAGTTTCAACTTGGTGAAAGGAGAGAGAGAGAGAGAGAGAGAGAGAGAGAGAGAGAGAGAGTTGCTTTACTCCACAGTTTGGACGTTTGAGTTTTTCTATACTGAGAGCCAAAAATATTCCTTACTTAGATGACTGCTTGTATTATTTTTGATTGGAAAATTGCGGACAAATCTGAAACAAATTTCCTGCAAAAATGGATGCAAATATTACATTCTTTACTGTTAACTGGACAGTATAACTTTGTCTTTATTTTATGACACTAGACTAGATGTCTTTTGAGGAAAGAAGCAGTGAGTGATTATTGTATTAGTGCAATTA